TTTTTTTTTTTTTTGGAAAAGGTTTTGAAACTTTTTCAGCCTGCGGCTAAAGGTTTTGTAGTCTTGCAGTAATAAATATTTATCCTCCTTCCTGATGGATCCCTTTAAGTCCTGTCAAACTGAACAGCGGAGTAAAGGAAGAGGTGTGCGTGTGTGTGTGTGTGTTTGTTGGGGGTGAGGGTGGTGTTAATCTGTGACTTGCTCCACAAAGCCGCTCCAGCTCAAGGACAATAACAGACCCGAGGGCCTGTGGGGTTGTCTTGTCTGGGCTCTCAGGTGAATCATTATTGTTGAACTCTCAGAACGCTGCAGGTTTTCCTTAATGACTGCTTTGTATTTGGCATAAAAAGCAGCATCCTCAGTGGACGATCCATGTCTGTGCAGTGATAAAAGGGGACTAGGGTTATGCATGTTTTAAAATAGTCAAATCAGAAAGTCTGCTGCATTCAATCCGTTGAATTGATAGTTTGTAAAACCACCATTTTTGCCCATTCTTCTTTTGAAAATATCTCAAGTCCATTAGTCACACTGGATGGCAAGGGTCAGAGAAGAGAAGCTTAAACCCACAGTGTGTAACATAAGCTAAAAATTCAAGTTTTTTAATATGTTTGTTAAAACTGTTACCATATAATGCCACTATAATGTAAGACAGATAATCTGTTTGCATTCTCCCAGTGTTCCCGGGGCTAACTACAGAGATACAAACCACAATAAGTAACAATCACACCGAGGAGGAGGGTCTCAGCACTGTCAATCATGCTTGTGTATATGTCGCTCACATCCTCCCCCTTACTCTTTGCTATGCTTCTCCTTGTCAGCAGAGCCTGCCACGACTGCACAGGCTAGCATAGCTACTGATGATGGTGGAAAAACAGTTTTCCTGGAATGGTTAGTTGTTTTTCCGCCAGCGCATACACAAGTTTGATTGACAGCACTAAGATACTCCTCCTGGCTCTGACTGGCTGTTTTTGACCAGAAGCGGTGCATTCCTTTGGCAATAGTATCTCAGCGAAGAGGTGGAGGAGGTCGAACTTGTCACAGATTATCTGATTATCAGATTATCTACTTCACTGTTACAACAACATGTTGACAGTTTAAACAGATACATAAAAAACACCTTTTTGTAAAAGTTATACACTGTAATGTTACGTCACACATCCCCGATCGTATTGAGCTTTAGACTTTGACTGGAACTTTTTAACACAAAAATATTGGATCTAAATTATTTTGCTGTAACACAGGTGGCTCTAAAATGAGTGTTAATTTTCCCAGACAAAGACCAAGAAATATTACAGTTCCCCTCCTTGTATTTAATGTTTACACAAACTGAGCCAGTCACACCTTCCAATGTGTTATTTCTGGTGTGATGATCCTCTACTCAATATGTCATCAGATATAAAGGTATGAACGACGCAGTCACTGCAGCAGCCCGTCCCCCAGCTGACACTCAGGTGAAGCTTTGCATGCAGACGCTGTTCCGCCTCGCAGAGATCATCACCTGCACATCCAGGCCGTCCAGATGGCCGGTCACCTCTGCTCTGTGTGATTCTCTGTTTTTTTTTTTTTTTTCCAAGTCGTGATCGGCACGTACTGTTTCCTCGTCCCGGACGATTCAGCTGCAGCGCTGGACGCTGCTGAGGCGACCGGTTTGTGACAAACACACCGAAGGCCCGGAGGAGCAAACAAATGGGGCCAAAAGCAAGCGCTTGATAAATGAGTTGTTCATGATGTACACACAGGTCAGTTCACGTTTTTATGTAAACCTCCTTGAACACATTGGTGGAGGACATTTTCTGTGTCTTGACTAGGCCTGTCGCGATAACAAATTTTGCAGAGAGATTAATTGTCTCAACCGTTATTGCGATAAATGATAATATTGTTTGAGGACCATTTTAAAATGATGTAGCGGTAATGGCATAATAATGCAAGCACATCCTGCCAAAAATAAATACCCTTTGTTTTCAAAAGAACACTTAACGCTGGAACTGGTAAACAACATAAACAAAACAATCAAAAACAAAAAAAAATAAAATAAAATGGACTCTGTTAACAAAAAAAATGCACTTGAATAAAAACTAAACAAAACATAAAACCAAAGTGGATATGAAAACTACATTCAACCAGAAGAGTACAGATTATGAACTCTGTATACTATATTGCCCTTCGATAATCATTAGGTTCAGACGGAGAAGATGAGCACATCCGACTACCTGATATTCACTCCTAAGGAAATGAAGGGAGAGGTCAGTGGGGAGCACCGGAGTCGAGCCTTTTTTCATCCAGTGCCATCAATAGAAAGAGAAAAAGGCAGGAGGAGACGATAAATCGATAAATTAAGATGAGGCCGATAATTTCAATTTATCATGCGATTAATTGATTTATTGTTTATCGCTACAGGCCTGGTCTTGACATGTCTATCCTTCATGCGTGTTCTTCTCTGAATCAGCATGCAAGTAGTCAGAAACAATTTGCATGCTGAATGACACAAACGTCTAGAGTATAGCAATCGGAAGAAAAGCCTGACATGAAATGATACAGAGTCCTGGACCAAATCGATGTCTCATGTGAGGTTAAAAACAGTAGAACGGTTACAGCCAGCTGTGTGGTCAGCGTGGCCCTATTACTTGTAAGCACGGCATTCACCGAAACATCTGAGGACGAGTCTCCCAGCGGTACGTGTGGGTTCAGTGTGTAATGATCACAGCGGATTTGGAAGAAAGAAAAAAAAAAAAAAAGATGTGCTTTTAGAACAAGTAGCCTACTCGAAAACACAAGAGGCAGTGTGGCAAAGCTGCAAAATGATAATGTTTTTCTTTCTGAGCTAGAGAGACGAGAACATTGAAGCAGACCTAAAATAAGCTCATTTTCTCTTAACTAGTTTTATTTAGCGTGACAAATAAGGAGAAAATACACATTTTATTAGCTCTTTCCAGGTAGTAATATTAAATCTGAATGAGCAGAAAGCTGTTAGCGTTTGAACTATTCTGTGAAGAAGAGCGGTCACTGAGCCGTACAGTAGGGCAATTATAAGCACTGTTGCCTCATGGGGGAAAAAAATGGTATGAGCAGCTACGGCTGGTGCTTCTCTCTGAATGTTACCCGACACAAGGACGATATTTTTTCTCAGAAACGTAGGATTTCAAAACTTCCGTCACAGCAGGCAAGTGGATTTTTACGACGCTGCACACGTGTGCATCTTGTATAACCAACAAATCAGTTGGTAACTTGGTGTTTGCAAGAACCCGCCGATGTACCACCGAGCTGCCTTTGTTTGGTCTTACTGAGTCACCAAAAGCAAACAGCTTAGCAAGGAAATTGATTTTGCAAAGAATTGCCACGACTGGCGTAAAAAGAAAAGAAGAAATTATTCTGTTTCACAAGTCTCCAAAGATGAAAGCTCTTTGAGTTGACTAACCCACAGAAAGGTTTGCTCATGGTGTTAAATAGCTTTGGCGACCTTAAAGGGGAGGAGCGAGGGATGGCTGAGGTGTTGTATAAACATGACTTTTTTGAACTTTATACCATGTTATAATGTTATTCTATCATCAAAAAAAAAAATTGAAATGTTGCTTTAATTCGTCCCTATTTTCTACCCCTATTCCACACAGCTCCTCCAGACTAGTGGCAGCAGCAATCAGCAAACACCTACAGAGCCCCAAGAACGTCTATAATGGCAAAAAGAGAAACATTGTTTTAAAAACATGCTGAAGACACAGACCGGGACAGAGGCCAACTTCAAGCTGCCAAATTTGTTTTAAGTTATGTTTGACTATTTGCAGCATTTTTATGACAACTGAAGGTTAAAAGCTACTTAACTGTGCTATAAGATATGCCTGGAAAGTACATAAAATACCACCCCTTTAAGGCCAGAAAAGAGTTCTACTCACTTCAGCTCAACACTTAAAAACAAAACACACAGCACTGCAGCCAATCAGCATGAAACAAACAAGCAGCGGTATCACTGCTTTCTAACTACAGGGATGTGAGCGCGCTCGCAATCTTTAAACAATCCACTCAGAACTATTCATTTTTCACTAGTTCTGCATCAACAGTGGCTTGCTGGGCGCAGACCGTTTTCTGGAGGAGTAATTCCCTGCATTATGGTAGCATGCAAACAGAACTCAGCAGGAGCGTTATTACAAGGGCACCTGTCACTCGGCCGTGAGCTATACGGAAAGACGCCTCTCAGATAGAGTAATTCCAGTTTTCACACAACACCACTGATTTCGCAGCTGGACTTGGAGGCAATCTGCATTTTGCTGCGGCGGATATCAGCGTCACTGTCAGGCGGAGGAGCAAAGCAGGGACGGCACATGTGCATATGCGATTCTCTTTCGACGGGGGCTTAAATGGAACTTCGTGCTGGCTGGCTGTCGGCAGAGTCTTGTTTTGATTGTCGCTATGGGAACGGACAGCGTCTGACCCACAGATGCAAGAGCAAAGGGATTTGATCGATAGACCGAGGCAACAGTAGGTTTCTTCAGCTAAACCAGATGGATGAGGATGTCAAGTCTGAGCAATTTGAACGCGTGAACCAGAAAAAAAAATCCCTGCTAATATTCAGAACAGTCTCCAATCTAATGAAAGATAGGAAGGATGCTGGTTCAACTGAGCACATAAACATCCTTTCGCCCCCGCACAGCCTAAGGGACAAATGTGTACGGCATAATAATTAAAAAAAAAAAAAAAGCCGTTGGTGAGCAGGAACCATTTGTCTCAGGGTTCAGAGTTCACTCGGATGGTGCAGGTGAGCGTGTGCTGGGATCACAATGTGCCAGCCACAGTAAACAGTGTTTAGAGAGCAAGGCAAGGCCAAGCTACTGCAGCCAGAGGCACTGAGCCTCTACATAAATATTGACTTTACGTTCATCCCCTGTTCTCTGCACCTTTCAGACGCGAAACCACGAGGGACGAGACGAGTACGTCAGAGTTTCCGAAGAAGAGCCTGATTTGAATGCCTCCTAACAAACACGAAGGACCGGTTACATGCTCAAGAGATTGTAGGCGTTTGCGTTGAATAGGCGCTCTTTGTTTACCAAGGCCAAAAACCCAAGCGCGCAGGGGAATAAGAAGGTATCTGTCGGAAAGTTTAAACAGCTGTGTGTATTTGAAAAATGTTGATTGAGTATAGTTTGGTTCCTGCAGAGCATAGAGAGCTGGGGAAACAAAATCATTCCCTCGTGGAGTTTAACTTCGTAGCATTGAAGGCATACGGAAGTAGATTTCCTCTGGGTGCCAGAAGGGATGTGTGCCCGCCTGGCCTATCAGCTGAAGCAGACGGTATCTGTTGTAAATACTAATAGAGAGGTTTGTAGAAGTTTTCATACCTCAGGGCAAGCACTACAGTTTGTTGATTTTTTTGTGTGTGATTTTTTTAGTTTTTTGGGTGAAAAGTTTTCAATTCGACTCCAGCAGCCAAACAGCAGCATGAAAGAATTTCTTCATGTGCAGCGCATTTCTGTTGACTGAGTTGAGAAAATATTTGTCAAGCGTGTTCAATATCTTCAATACGGCCTCAGCAAAAATCGTAGGCAATCTGTATTTTAATTTCTTACCAAGATATCCATGTTTGTACTGTAGATGGCCATGAATCTAATTAATTTTGGGTTTTAAAACTTTTTTTTTAAAACAGTTGTTTTTTTTTTTTTTTTTGGTAACATGTTAAATTAATATCAAACACAAAAAATAGGCAGCCAAGTCTTTTTTGTTTTACAGATTTAAATTTACATACACCCCCACCAATATTTAGTTAAATATCTTTTAGCAAGTTGAACCTTGACCATGCAGTTTTTTTCATTCGTCATCAGGCTTCTGGCATGATTCTGGTAGGATATTTTACCACCATTTTAGAAGAAATGGGAGATTGATTTCCAAGCATTGATGAAGCTTTACAGGCTGCAATCTTGCCGACTACAGATCCTCCTTCAAAATCAACACTTGCAACGTCAGCTGAACTTTTTTGAACTCAGTTTTTGTCCGATGAGACAAAAACTAAGCTGCAAAACAAGCAAACTAGAGAGAGAGAGCTGCATCAACTTTCAAGCACGGTGGTGGTGGTCGGATAAAGCAGTTTGATATTAAATCCTGGCTGTGGTTGAGAAGCTGCTCTCACATTTCTAATTGTAAGCAGGTCAGTTGTTCATGGCAAGTAAAGTTTGTAATTTCTCTGCAATGTGCTAACGGCCATTTACGCAAATATCAAGGGTATGTAAAGCTCTGGAAAAAACTAAGAGACCTCTGCACTGAACCCCATTGAAAACCTCATGGTTGTTCCACCAAATGTTGATTTCTGAACTCTTCCTGAGTTCAAACTTTAGCATTGTTGTTTCTAAATAAATATGAACTTTTTTTTTCTTTGCATTATTTGAGATCTGTAAGCACTGCATCTTTTTTTGTCATTTTGACAATTTCTCTTTTTCTGCAAATAAAAACAAAATTTTTGCTTGGAATTTCAGAGACTTGCTGTCAGTAGTTCATAGAATTAAAGAACAATGTTCATTTTGCTCAAACATAAACCTGTAAAAAGTAAAATCAGAGAAACTGATCATTTTAAGTGGTCTCTTAAAATTATAAATTTTCCAGAGCTTTATATACAAATTTGAATTTGCATTTTTTTTTTTTTTTTTTTTTTTTTTTTTTTTTTTTTTTCCAAGAAAAAAAGCAAAATTTAATCCAAACTTCACACATCAAAAAACAACAAAACTTGAA